GAGGGCAACTTCGGCCGTCGCAGCAGGCTTCTTGGGTGCCATTTTGAAGCTCCGAAGGATCGTGATCACGGGAAAGGCAAGGAGGAGGGGGAACCGTGAACTCGGAGAGACACGACCCCAGACTCCACACCATATCTCTCTTTCGCCTCGGCCCGATGACGAGTCATGTGACGACTACCTCGATTGCGGATTAACTATTACTCCGCATAATTGATACCTTTCCTAATCAGGTTAGTCCCATTTTTGAGCGCGTCCCAACCTCGCGTTCGCGTTTTACCAGCGAATTTGGTAGGGGCTCGGATAGTCACTGGACCCTCTTCTTTATTTCTCTCCCGATCCCACTATTGATTCTTTGCGCTTTCAATTGAGCGCACTTTGTTATTATGTCTCTCCTTCAATACCCCCCGCCTGTGGATTATTCCGCGCAATTGAATGGCTTCAAGGATTTCTTGAAGGGGTTCAAGACCTTCCAATCGTCCTCGGAAGCCGCTGCGACCGAGGCGTTGGAAGATCTGAACATTGACGATGGCCAGACTAGTGATGAATATGATTTCATGGATGATGTCGATGAGACCAACGGGGCAAGCGCCCGAGGAGCAAGGAGGCAGCGGGAGCCGAAGCTCAAGTATATGCAAATTCTGCAGGATATCGCAAACCGGGATAAATCTAATATCTTGATTGAGTTGGATGACCTGTCAATTGTAAGTACCAATATGAGCCCCTCTCACTAAATTATAGCTCACAATGGTGGTAATAGTTTGAGAAGTCCATGTCCGAGGGAGAAGGCCTGAAGCTCGTCGAATCTATCGAAAAGAACACAAAACGCTATATCGATGTTCTCTCTCAAGCGGTCGATGAGGTTATGCCTAGGGAGACAAAGGATGTCACGTACGTCAAATCTATCTCTATGCAAACGCACCGGCTGCTGAACTAATTATTGTGCAGATTCAAAGACGATGTGCTTGATGTGATCATGTCTCAGCGCGAGAAGCGGAATGAGACTATGGAGACCGCCATGGAGGCCGACATGGAAGCTGCGGCGACTGCCCCATCCATGTTCCCTCCGGAACTCACCCGTAGATATACCCTCAACTTCAAGCCCCTCACGCCTTCGGGGTCCAGCGCCGAGCGCGATTCCAAAGCCCTCGCCGTCCGTTATGTACGTGGTGAGCACCTGGGTACCTTGATTACAGTCCGCGGTATCACTACCCGTGTCTCAGATGTCAAGCCGGCTGTACAGATCAACGCCTACACTTGCGATCGCTGTGGTTGCGAAGTGTTCCAGCCCATCACCACCAAGCAGTTCCTCCCCCTGACCGAGTGTCTGTCGGAGGAATGCAAGAAGAACAACTCAAAAGGTCAACTCTTCCTGTCAACTCGTGCATCGAAGTTTGTTCCCTTCCAGGAGGTGAAGATCCAGGAAATGGCCGACCAGGTCCCCGTAGGCCATATTCCTCGCACTTTGACTATTCACTGCCACGGCGCTCTGACTCGCCAACTAAACCCTGGCGACGTTATTGACGTGGCAGGCATCTTTTTGCCCACTCCCTACACTGGTTTCCGTGCTATTCGCGCTGGCTTGCTGACTGACACATACTTGGAGGCCCAGCACATCACCCAGCACAAGAAGTCCTACAATGACATGGGCATGGATAGCCGTACTCTGCGCAAGATCGAGCAGCACCAGCGTTCCGGTAATATGTATGAGTACCTCTCACGGTCGATTGCACCCGAAATCTACGGACACCTTGATGTCAAGAAGGCGTTGCTATTGCTCCTGATCGGCGGTGTCACGAAAGAGATGGGTGACGGCATGCACATTCGTGGAGACATCAACATCTGCTTGATGGGTGACCCTGGTGTGGCCAAGTCCCAGCTGCTTCGATACATTACCAAGGTTGCTCCTCGTGGCGTGTACACCACCGGACGAGGAAGCAGTGGTGTCGGTCTCACCGCCGCAGTCATGAGAGATCCCGTCACAGACGAGATGGTGCTGGAGGGAGGTGCCCTTGTTCTTGCAGATAACGGTATCTGCTGCATTGATGAGTTCGACAAGATGGAGGACGCGGACCGAACGGCTATTCACGAAGTGATGGAACAGCAGACTATCTCCATCTCGAAGGCCGGCATCACAACTACCCTTAACGCCCGTACTTCCATCCTGGCAGCGGCCAACCCGCTATATGGTCGCTACAACCCTCGAGTGTCACCCGTGGAGAACATTAACCTTCCCGCCGCTTTGCTCTCGCGTTTCGATGTCATGTTCTTGCTTCTGGATACCCCGTCCCGCGAGGGCGACGAGGAGCTGGCCAACCACGTCACCTACGTCCACATGCACAGCAAGCACCCGGAGAGTGAAGAAGCCGGCGTGTTGTTTACTCCCCACGAGGTCCGTCAGTATGTTGCCAAGGCACGCACATACCGTCCTATTGTGCCTACCAACGTTTCTGACTACATGGTTGGTGCTTATGTGGCCATGCGCAAGAGACAAAAGATCGACGAGTCCAAGAAGAGGCAGTTCTCTCACGTCACTCCCCGTACTCTGCTCGGTATCGTTCGTCTTTCGCAGGCGCTTGCTCGTCTTCGCTTCAGTGAGGAGGTTGTTCGCGAGGATGTCGATGAGGCCCTGCGTCTCATTGAGATCAGTAAGGCTTCTCTTTACAATGATGGCGAGCAGGGCGCCGACAACACCCCATCCAGCAAGATCTACAATTTGATCCGCAGCATGAAGGAGAGTGGTGCCGCTGCCGTTGGAGATGGCGAGGAAGGTGAGATGAGCATGAGACGTATTCGGGAGCGTGTGCTGGCCCGAGGCTTCACTGAGGATAACCTCACTATGACTATCGATGAATATGCCGAGATGAACGTAAGTTTTGATAACTCCAGAAGCTTACTGCGCTTTTTTACTAACAACGTTCTCAATAGCTCTGGCAAGTTACTGGTAACGGCACACGTCTGCTCTTCACTGAAGTTGACGGCGACATGGAAATGTAATTGTGAAAGTCTCCCATTCTGTTTCTCTTCTTATATGCCAATCGGGCTTTTTGTACGTGTTGAAGGTGCATCTGAAACTGGCTGAAATTAAGGCGACGGGTGTTTGGGTGTATTGCTGGGGGAATGGAGTCGGTTCTTATGATTTCGTAGGGTCAATTAAGAAGATCTTCCCAATCTACTTTTACATCCTAATCTTCCACTAAAGCAATTTCAATTAAGGAGTGACACATGTACACATGCAATCCGGCAGAATATCTCGCGCTATGGATCGAACTCTGTCCTTTGAGCATTGCAGTGGCCCCATACCTTTCTTCCGCCTGTTATACCCACTCCAACTCCGGACCGATGCTTTACGCGGCGCACTGGTGCTGAAGCCTGACCTCCTTGCAAAGATCGGAAGGAGCAGCATAGGGATCGTTACACGGGTTGTTGCAAGCCGTGTTCTCAGGAACAAAGACAAGGAACTCATAGTTCGGCATCGGCAGGCGGAACTGATTGTACAAGTTGTTGTCGTACTGAGATGCCTTGAAGCCAGCACGGCAGGCGCAGTGGAAGGACTTTCCCGTGTTGATACACGAGGTTGAGGGATCACACCGGTTCTCGCCTGAGATAGGGTTGCAGGTGCCGCACTGGGACCATGGTATTGGGTCAGCGGCCACCAGGGAGGCAGTAGCGATGATCAAGCTGACGACGGAGAAACGCATCGTGATGGATAATTGGATTTGAGGGTAGACTTGGAATAGATCTGTTGGCTTGTATCTAGGGATTGATTTCTGATGGCATTATCTTCTGCTGGGAGATTCGCCATCTTATATACCCGTCTCCAAGGGTATATATGATTATGTGAAGCCTTAGGCTCGGTGCTCCTTAGTTGTGGAAGACGTTCTTCGCCCTGTTCCCTGGATTGCATCACGAGGTCGTTTTCAGTCTAGGTTTCCCAGTATAGCCTGGTCCATAAAGGATACGATATCCATATACGGTGCCAAGTGGGAAAGCATCTGGGGTTGGGCTGCGAATACGAGATCTGGAACAATACACCAAAACACGACCAATGCTTATCGTCCAAGGTGAGGTCGATGGCTTGTTGGCTCAACGTTGCCTTTGAGCAGCACACCTAAGACTGTTCAGGTTTTGGAATATCGATTCAGCGAATGGCGGGGTGTATGTCTCAGAGCCATCCCTCTAGCCACATTCAGATCTCGATGTCAACAGCCGTATAGAAATGCGGGGATTTTGACTAGCCAAGGCATATGTCTCACACTGCTTGAAGCTTTACGATTACGAGCTGGGTATTCTTTGATCTGGTCAGGCTTATGCAAATGAGTCTTCTGCATGCCTTTGGAACGTGGCAAAAGGCAGGGAAAGCTATACCACGAAGTTGGGCACTGGTTAGTCGAAACTGAGGCAGGGGCTGTGACACCTTGTTTTTGGTTTCTGTTTACTCTATAGCCGTCAAGGGTAAGGATCTAATATGCCCATTCAGGACACACTTTTTGCCTTGTTGGACCCGCTCAAAACCAATACTCCGAGTTTGGTACTGATATCGTGTTGTCAGACGACATCTATTGGCCGGTAAGGTTATATTCTCACCTAAGGACCGGTCTGAGGCCCGATTTCAAGCGTAAGCACCGAAAGACGAGGTCTGACCAGGAAATCAATGGATCATTGAAAATCGAGACTCACATACTATGAGCTGTTTCTCATCTTGGTAAAATGCGACAAAAGTTGCCGTATGTCACCATATAATACCACGTCCAGAGTCAGTGCAGTTGAGATTGCAATATCGGAGCGGAACTTTGTGTCGAGATGCAGGTTCCGAGACTCTTCCCTTTGGTAACTGTAGACGCCGCTTGTGGGAATCATCATAAAAGTGGACGAGACATGTTTCATTGGTGGGTTTATGTGCAGCTAGGCTTAGATACATGGAGATATGCTCCGGTATATTCAACAGCCGCATTGTCTTTCTCATACAGAGATGCATGGCTAGTAGCATTTGACACGGTAGCCTAGAGGTGCGTCTTAGATCCCTCTGGCTCCCCAATCAGCCTCAAAAACGCCCCGTGGACCTCTTCGGTCAAATCACTGGCCTGCATGCTCCGCCCCTTTTCCGCAAAGGCTCGTCGCGAGCACTCTCGTGTAATGCTACTTGACGCCCAAGCCACCAATAGCAGAGTAGTTGGCGGGGACATGCGCTTGTTCTCAGAATCGAGCTCTGTCTGAACGTCTTCCTTGCTCTGTGCCTCCTTCTCGTTGTCCTGCTCGGCAGAGTCCCACATCTTCTCATGGTAAGCTGCTCGCCAAGCAAGGAATGTGCCCAATGATCCGGTCAGAGTGTCTCCTTGACCGCCGCTACGCTTCAAGCCACCCTCGCTATCAGAGATGATACTGGTAACTCCGTTGGAAATCACATCTTGAGGACCCTTTTGGATAATTGTCACGCCGCCGAGGGCCTGAGATAGCTGCTCACAGGCATCCGATGCTTTGCTGGTGATGTTGCCGTTTCCGCCTTGCGCGATCTCCGCTTGGCTGGCGACCTTGATGCCCATCTTTTTGGCTAGACGGCCAAACTCTACCACATTTGGCGTCAGGATACACTCATTGTAGCCTTTGACCAGGTTCGGGTCTTGCGTCACGATCAGCAATCCGTCTGCGTCTAGCACAAATGGGATCGATCGTGACCGCGCCTCTCTCATCACCTCTGCGACCACCTTCAGCGTCACCTCGTCGCGGCCGAGACCAGGCCCGATCACAAGTGCATGGAGGCGAGATAGCATCGCGATGATCGGACCCGCCAGTGATGGTACATCAATTGAATTGGGATCCTTGACAGTGTCGATGCTTGGAAGCAATGGATGTACCATCAAATTTGGAGAGTAGCTCTTGATAACCTGCGCATGATATGTTTAGAGTTGTTCAATATAGGCCGGATATTAGCTTACCGGCGCTGCGGATCGTTCGCAGAGTACGTGGCTCTGGTGGTTGTTAGTCGTTTGCAGAAGGTATGCCATCTTTCGCACATACCATATCGCATCCTGCAACTCGAGAGTCAATATATTTCGGAGAGCATGGGCCTTGTTAGGGGACGCACCAAGTCTTGCGGAGGCCATGGCTGAAAAGTATGGAGCTCCGGTGTAGCTTATGCCAATTAGTAGGATACCAGTGTTACTAAGCAGGGAGCCTACTCAAGGGAGCCTCCAACAACAGCTACACGGCCAAGCTGTCCTAGACTAATAGTCAGCGGGGATTTCATTGCGTAGATCAGTGTCGATTACTCCAAGCGACCTGATCAACAAACCTTTGTGGAACTTTTCAAGCATTGGAGGTACAATCTTGCGCACCTTGCTGAAGAGCGTCTTTGATGAGGCCGAGACATGATGAACGGACTCCATGGTGAATATGTGGATATTGGAACTGTGAATTGTAGTAGAGGATAAACTTATGCTGGAACCAGGGCCGGAAGCGAAGGCGGGTGATGTCACCGACCAAGTGGGGCCAAGCTTGTTTGGAGTTGCCCTGTGATATCCGATGACTTCAATATGAGGTTTCGGTTGACTACGATATACACAAAAAGCTAGTCCAAGGAAAAAGAAAGTTGGTATTGAAATAGTGCTCGCTATTGATGGTCCTTCAAAGGCAAAAAAGAAAAAAGATGAAAAGGTATCCCCGTCTATGGACACCTCAAACGCTCATAATGCGGAGTTAACATGTAGTCCTACCCAAAACAAAAAAAAGATCATAGATAGTAGTCGAAAGTAAAAAAGTAGAGACAGTATAAAAAGTCCAAACTTTAACGTTTGCTCTTAGAAGCAAGAGCGGCCAATTTCCGCTGGCGCTCCAACTTCTCTTTCTTAGCAGCCATTTCTAGTCGCAGCTCCTTCTCGTCCTCCCGTTTGGCAAATTCCAATGCAGCAGCTTCTTCGCGGTCCACATCGTCAATTCCAGCCTCCATGTCGGAAGATGCGTCGGAGTAATAATCGTCGTAGTCACCGAAGTCGCCCTCATCTTCTTCATCAGTTCCGAGATATTCGTTCTGTCGAGAATTGCGAGACTGTTGTCGACGGTCACTTCCACCACGGTTTGACGGCAGGCCCGCAGTTCCACGGTATGTAGGCGGCTCGGGAGTCTGCGTCGGTTTGGCCGTGCCCTTGTATGAGGGCCCCTCGGAATCACGCTGCCGGACAGCAGGCTTACCCTTGGCAGAAACACCTGATCCAGCCTTCTTTCCCAAACGCGCTTCTTTTTCTTTGGCCTGGAGCTCCATCATGCGCCGCTTGCGCTCCACTTTCGTAAGTCTTTCTTTGGGACCGGCTTGGTGTCGCAGTAAGCCTACTCCCACAGGCGCCGTCTCTTGCTTAGCCTTAGCCTGCGCCATGATCTCCGCAAATGATCCCTTCGGCGGCGGCTTCGAGGCTGTGGCGGCGGCTGCCGATGTGGGTTTAGGGGCGGGCTCCTTCCGTGAGGGTGTCACTTTGGGCGCCGCAGACAAGCTGGATTTGGGGGTGGGCTTAGGCATGGTTGGCCTAGAGGTGGTGGTCGGGACTGCCTTGGACACAACTCTCGGTGATGCTGATGATAGCGCTGGTCTCGTGGCGAGCGTGGACTTCATTGAAGCTGAGTTATTAGTCACCTTGCTTTCAGTTTTTGGTGGACGAGGCAGCTGCTCCTCAGCTTTGCGCTTGATCCCTCCACCCACATTCCCACTAGTCGGAGGCGCCCGCCGCTCAGCGGTCGGTTTTCGATCCTCTTTTTTGGGGATCGAAGCAGGCTCAGGCGAGGTAGGCGCCTGAGACAGTGGGAGTTGGGAGGGCTTACCCGTCTGGAGAGACGAGAGAACGGAATCGAGGAACTATATTATGTCAGTCAAAATGAAGTGAAACGAAGATAAATATAGGTAGCCATACACTCATTTTGATTGTAGGAATATCCCGAAGGGTGTAAAGGCTGAAGTCGAAGAGTGGTACAGAGAAGAAGCTCACCGTCGATATTTGGTACGACTAAGTAACTTCATGACTCCGAGCCCGATAGCATGAGAATAGATCTCTGGCTTTGCTCGCTCCGGATTTTCTGTTATCCAATATGACAGAACTAGCACAAGTAAAGGACACGCCTGACTTGGCCCAAGAGCTTTCCGAGTGAGAGGTATATACTCCGCAGATGAGTAGAAAAGGCAGACAGGTGTATAGGCCAGCATGCAATTATCAAGCTGGGATATGAAGGAGCCACGTGACAGGAAATACTGCGCCACATCGCTCGCTTAGAAGTCCCGCCGACACTAGCCACACCCACTCGCACCACCTTTTTTCAAGATTTTGAGCGCTCGGTTAATCTTTCGTCAACCAACCTCTTCCACCAGAACTCGACGTTGCAGTCTCCGCCCAATTCGCGGTTAAATCGATTGTTTCTCTTGTTCAGATAATAATCACCAACGGTATGTATACCTCGTTTTGTGCTTCTCAGCCGATTTTGCGGCGTGAGAAGTGCGATCGCATCTGATCTTGAATTCATGATACTAATGAAAATTTTGTCCAGTCCTTTCAAAATGAAGTATCTCGCCGCCTACCTGCTCCTCGCCCTTGCCGGCAACGAGGCCCCCTCCTCCGCCGACATCAAGGATGTCCTCTCCTCCGTCGGCATCGACGCTGAGGGTGACCGTCTCGAGAAGGTCATCGCCGAGCTCCAGGGCAAGGACCTCCAGGAGGTTAGTGATACTCGCACGCGCACATACCCTACCTGAACTGCATGCTGACTCTGTATATAGCTGATCGCCGAGGGCTCTACCAAGCTCGCTTCCGTTCCCTCCGGCGGTGGTGCTGCCGCTGCCCCTGCCGCTGCCGCTGCCGGTGGTGCCGAGGCTGCCGCTGAGGAGAAGAAGGAGGAGAAGGAGGAGGAGGAGTCCGATGAGGACATGGGCTTCGGTCTCTTCGATTAAGCGCTTTAATCCAAGACCTAAAAATCATAGTTCTGGGGAACAGATGTTTGGTTGGTTCGTCAGTCCGGGCAAGATTTACGCCGGTTGGCTTCTCAAGTGTGTTCTGTTGAGACTGTTTTGATACAGTTGCGACTTTTTATGTGAGCTGGAATAAGCTTATAGCCAATACAACTCGTCTGGCCTCCACTACAACTTTTCTCTATACGTATATGTAGTTCTTGAAAGATCACCGGGACCCGCTCAGCGCTTTTAAGCAATAGCGTGTAGTCAAATTCTCTTGGAGAACTAGATATTCAGATAAGGGCCATCGACAACCTTGGAACTCCCGATTCTGATACGACATGCGTGTCAGAGAGGACAATGGGTAACCATAATACAAATAAATTACATTGGTAGGTACAAGCGCTTTTAAGGAATGCCCAAGCAAACACGAGTAGATCAATATTACAGAGATTTTGATTACGAATAAAAAACCAATGTTTCAAAATAGATTACCAATATCCCAAAGTGGTATAGCGCCTAGGGCTTGGAACCTACCCGTCGCTTAACGAGTGCTGCCCACCTCCTAGAGCCTGTGTGTTAGCAGCCCGACCGCTCAGCGACACGACAATTTCCGACAACCCATCTTCCTTCGCTTTTCGAGATACGGTCGAAAGGCGGCTTACAGGAATATCTGCAAAAATGGCTGACACCGAATACGTGAGTTTTTTTGCCCTCGCCCTTCAAGCCCGTGCGTTAGACTGACCTGGAGTTTTCATATAGAACGCCGAGGAGGCTGCCGGTACGTTATGAAGAATAAAACCCACCCCTACCCATCGCCCCTGGACAGAAGGACCGAATGAGTGGAGACGGCGCGTATTACGATCGACTATACGATGATGATGGAAGAAATCCAAGTTGGCGGGGAACGACATGGACCTGGGATGCAGGGATACACGCACAACAAAAAGATCGCAGACGCTGACTGGACCTTCGCCAAACAGAGATCAAGAAGAGAAGACAGTTCCGCAAGTTTTCTTACCGCGGCATTGACCTCGACCAGTACGTTTCCATTGCCAATAATCGAACCCTTGGGCATCCATTCGCAGCCAGCGCCTCGTGAGATGGAATTGAAGGTGGTCATCTACCATGCCAACAACCATTGTGGACGCACCGCATGTAGCATTTCGACTCACGTCTCTTTGGCGCTGCATTGCGAATGGGCACCAAGGACCAAAATTTACAAGGACATTGGTCTGACTGAATGCTTTTACAGGCTCCTCGACCTTTCCTCCGAGCAGCTCCGTGATGTCGTTCACGCCCGTGCCCGTAGACGTTTCAACCGCGGTCTGAAGCGCAAGCCCATGGGTCTCATCAAGAAGCTCCGCAAGGCCAAGCAGGAGGCCAAGCCCAACGAGAAGCCCGATCTCGTCAAGACCCACCTCCGTGACATGATCGTCGTCCCCGAGATGATCGGCTCCGTTGTCGGTATCTACTCCGGTAAGGAGTTCAACCAGGTTGAGATCAAGCCCGAGATGGTTGGTCACTACCTCGCTGAGTTCTCTATCTCTTAGTATGTACTCCCGAGATTTGTTCCCATGACCATTGACATCAGAGCACTAACAACCTCCCAGCAAGCCCGTTAAGCACGGTCGTCCCGGTATCGGTGCCACCCACTCTTCCCGTTTCATTCCCCTCAAGTAAACGATTTCAAACGATTCCCCTCGGAGTGGTATGTGGAGGAAATGGTGCTGGGAAAGCAAAAATGGAATTCAGCAAAACTCTCATCTGGGCTCTTTTTTTCAGCATGTATTTCCAGTCTGGGTCAGCTGTTTCCAACTCAATTTAAGATCTTGTCGGCATGAAATCATCTTGGAATCTGGATTTAGTCCCTCGAATCTGGCGAGGTAAAAAAAGAGATACTCCTTCACTCGTCTTGCTGTGTCACCGGGGAAGGAGTCTAAATTTTAACGACACTACAAATTTCATTCCCAGTCACATCGTAGGCCAGTAACCTCAAGGGCACACCAGAAAACCTTAAACAGGCACGTCAGCGCCGTCTTATGGTCCCTGAGTCTAGGTCATGAAGTTCTACCCCGTCGTATTACTGTGAACTGCTCCACGAATGGGACTCCGCTACCTTTACTCTGGGGAAGCGGGATGGTGTCATTCAATCTATTACCTACATCGTTTTATTGAGCCTCATTGTGTGTAAGTGTGATATAAGCTAGCAACAATAGACTTCACATCTCCAGGGAAGTGTTCTTAGGTATTCTATTTCCCCATCGCTTTCCATGGACAGAACATACATATGTATCTAGGGCTACACTGATATATATTTCCAGAACGGCCTTTTCCCGAATGAGTCGGCCGTTCGAGATCCCTATGTCTATTGAACTCACTACCTCAAACCTGTTTCAGGCTACTATACAATTACCTGACTTCCAACATTGGAAGGTGGAACTCGATACCATTGAATTGCGAGATTTCAGCTGGCATTCCGAGGTTGTGATGTCACATCCCAATTCTGCCCAGGTGCATTCATCGAATTGTATAAGCCACATATCAAGACTATATTTGAGCGATTCTATAACTGTATATTTCCTACTTCTACTTTCGATGTTGCCTCTTATCCGGCACTCCGTGCCGCTGTGAATATGCGGAGGCCGTCAAACTGCCGAGACTTCCGAGTGCCGATCTCGACGATGTCAATCGGTATCCAGCATGAACCTCAACAAAGCAGATGGTTATTCGGACTATGTAGCCTATAGTATGAGACTGGATCTTTTAATATACCGAAAAGCGAAAGAACAAGCAGTTTTATATCGGCGTGCTCGGCGGTATCGAGCCGAGGCAAGCCGCGAGCCGAGAATGCGGAGAAAGACCCCATCTCTTTTTAAGTAGTGGGTTGCTCGTGTCTCCATCCTTTTCGTCTTTCATCTTACAGTCCTTTTGAGCCTCCATCACATTCCCAGTATCGGCTCCATAGTTTTATTTCTCCGCAATGCCCGTCCCCTCCAACTACCCCTTGGTCGACATCCCAGAAGTGGACCTCTGGACATTTCTATTTGAGCGCAAGGACAGACCTTACCCAGATGACAAGAGTGCGTGATATCCAATGAGACCGCCAATGCTACGCCATTGAATACGGAATTTGAATTTCTCTTTAGTTTTCTTAACACTGACCCCCCACCAGTTATCTACCAAGATGCCGATACCCAACGTCATTACACATACAAATCACTACGCGATGCCTCCCTAGATTTTGGCAAGGGTCTGAAAGCCCTGTACGACTGGCGCAAGGGCGATGTGCTAGCCCTATTCACGCCAAACAGCATTGACACCCCCGTGGTGATGTGGGGCACACTTTGGGCTGGTGGAATTATTTCGCCTGCGAACCCGGGTTACACGGTTGACGAACTGGCCTTCCAGCTCAAGAACTCCCATGCCAAGGGTCTTGTAACCCAAACCTCGGCGCTGTCCGTTGCGCGGGAAGCTGCGAAGAAAGTCGGCATGCCTGAGGACCGCATTATTCTGATTGGGGACCAACGTGACCCCGATGCGCGCGTCAAGCATTTCACCTCTGTGCGCAATATCTCCGGTGCTACCCGCTACCGCAAGCAGAAGATCGCTCCTGCGAAGGATGTGGCGTTTTTGGTTTATTCGTCTGGGACCACGGGTGTGCCTAAGGGTGTCATGCTGTCGCATCGGAATATCGTTGCCAATATCAGACAGCAGGTCATTGGTGAGGGGGGAAATTTGAGTTGGGATGGTGGTCCTGATGGAAAGGGTGATCGGGTCCTGGCATTTTTGCCATTCTATCATATTTATGGTATGGCTTTCAATCGTGCAGATGCTCGGATGAACAAGATACTAACTAGGAGCTTCTAGGATTGACCTGCTTAATTACCCAGGCCTTATATAAAGGTTATCACTTGATCGTCATGTCCAAATTCGACATCGAGAAGTGGTGCGCCCACGTGCAGAACTACCGCTGCT